AGCCCCTGCTGAGCCCATAGCAGCTGAACGGCTGCATCCAGGGCCCCTGGGCCGGGGCGCAGTGGAGTGGGTGGGCCTGCGCCCCCCTGCCACCCACTAACCGGGTGGCAGTCTCCCACCCCCCTTGCCACTGCTGCAGCTGCACTGCCTGCCCCGCTCTTGAACTAGGAGCTCCTATAGACCTGTGGGTTTGTTTGCGGCCCCGCCTTGCATTGGGCCTGGCCAGCAGTTGCTGCCCTGCCCTGCTCGAGGGCCTGGGCTTTCGTATGAGGGGTTTGGCACCCAGCCAGGATCCGGATCGGACCTTGTAAAAGGCCAGGACTTGGACTACTCTAAGGCACGGTGGGCCATAGGATGGACTAGCCATCCATTGTACCAGGGCGGAGGATCCGCCTCCCAGAGGCCTGCCGGTCTACAACAAACCTTCCCCCGGAAGGGGGGAAAAGCTCAGGCTATAGTGGGCATTGCTGGAGGGCAGTGTCCTGAAAGACTGCGCCACCTGCCGGCCGATCTAATTCCCCGAGCAGACGGCAGGGGGTGCTGTGGTGGAGCGGGGAGCCCGCTACAGGCCCCCAAGTATACATGTGGTGTGTACACGGGGACATCCATTCGTACCCCACAACCCGAGTAAGGATAGATGACAGAGAGGTGGAGGCGACGAGGGCCTGGGCTTTCGTATGAGGGGTTTGGCACCCAGCCAGGATCCGGATCGGACCTTGTAAAAGGCCAGGACTTGGACTACTCTAAGGCACGGTGGGCCATAGGATGGACTAGCCATCCATTGTACCAGGGCGGAGGATCCGCCTCCCAGAGGCCTGCCGGTCTACAACAAACCTTCCCCCGGAAGGGGGGAAAAGCTCAGGCTATAGTGGGCATTGCTGGAGGGCAGTGTCCTGAAAGACTGCGCCACCTGCCGGCCGATCTAATTCCCCGAGCAGACGGCAGGGGGTGCTGTGGTGGAGCGGGGAGCCCGCTACAGGCCCCCAAGTATACATGTGGTGTGTACACGGGGACATCCATTCGTACCCCACAACCCGAGTAAGGATAGATGACAGAGAGGTGGAGGCGACATGCGAGGTAGCGGTGGCTCCTAAATTAGCATATCGTACCCTGCTGGGGCGAGATTGGATGGGATTGGCCAGGCTGTTAAGGCAGTGGGGGGACGCCCACACCGACAGGGATGTAGGAATCCAAGGGGCTTACGCCTTCGCAGCCCACGGCGAGGAGGTTAGAGAACCCCCACCGGAG